GTGAGACGATCGATCAGCTCCGGCTCTTGGTCATGAAAAGTGCGTTGGGTACTGCCGAAACAAAGTCTACCTTTAGGATAAACAAAAACGATGGTGGTCCCTACTGTCGTAATCCCCATCGAGCAATTCAATGGCACGCATAAGATAAAATATCAGAGACGGCAAAATAGCATACCAAATGGAAGTGGTTCGCCGTGGGGTAGAGACTGTGCAACAGCTTCAAACAATAGCCTCATACTTAATCATCACAACGCGGAAGAGCGCTGAACTACCGATTTGTCGGGATTTGAGCCAAAAGCTGTCCAACACGTGATTAGTGTCTCGTGTTGCTGAACCATCGGGAACGGAGGAGACCTACGTGACCAAATTGTTGCGATATAGGCCACTTCATCTTCCACTACATGCACAGGCTGGCTTGCTGAACAACCTCCTCGTGGTGCCAGCTGGGTGGTTCGGGTTTCACCCGTTCCAGCAAATGGTTCGGCGGCAGTGTTAAAGGATGTGGTGGGTTTTCGTCTGGCAAGCGTTCTCCCTATAAAAAGTTACAAATGTCTGTTTAACAACACTGCGATGTGGCGGATGTGACTCGCCAGTAAGTAAAGTCACTGCCCCTTACCCCTCCCTGAGAGGCATTGTACTTCAAGGATACGTTGGGCCCAAGGTCCTTCACAGACCGAAAGGCGTCTGAACCACCTATATCGTCACCGGTTCCCAACGGGGTTGCGACGCCCTCACATCGCCCTGCTACCTTGTAGGTTAGATCTTTGATCAAAGGCTCGAGGTAGGGCCCCCTAAGACAACCCTCTACTTCGGCCTGGGCAACCGGATAGTATCACGCCCACTGACGAATCATGGACCACACTGCTTACTACTGCTCCTGCTATGCCTATCTTCTATGCTAACTCAACCGCTCAACCTCCACTCACAGATCATCCCAACTCCCGTCCTTCACCTATATGTACTCTTATGTCTTCTACGGTCACTGTCACAAACGACCCACGTCTCGCAACTGATGGAAGCAACAGCCAAACTCTCGGTTTTCAATGTCCTGCGATCGCAACCGCCTCTCACTCCACCGAAGCCCCAGCTCTTCTTCAACCTGGTTCTCCATTCATCCTCGAAGCGTTTAATGTTCGAACTTTGATGCAGATCGGACGACAAGCAGGTCTGGCCCATACTCTTTAAACACACTCGGTAGACATCTGTTGCCTTTCAGAGACCAGATTACAAGACTCTAGCGCCGTCAACAGAATGGCCTCTCCGGTAAACCCTGACGACAAATACCACTTGCGGCTTTCCGGAGACTCAGAAGCTGCCGCCACTGGCCAACATGGTGTTGGGTTTGTGCTGAGTGCCAGGGCTGAATCAGCTCTGCTTGACTGGATCCCAGTCAACAGTCGGATATGTGCAGTCAGACTACGAGGTTCATGTAACGTAAGCAGGCGTCGAGAGTTTAAGCGTGCCATGTTTGTCGTTTCCGCCTACCCCCCTACAGACTGCAGCCCGGATGCAGTTAAAGAAAGCTTTTACCAACAGCTACATGAACTTCTGCGTTCCTCCAAAAGGACTGATATAGTCATTCTTGCCGGGGAGTTTAACGCACGGGTTGGCCGCCTTCCACCAAGCAAGCACCATCTTGGGTGTAGTTTTGGTCTCGGTGGCAGTCGATCAGACAATGGAGACAGACTGCTTGCTCTTTGCTCTGATCATCGCTTGTATCTTTCGAGCACTAGTTTTCGGCACTCGAGGAGCCACACTGCTACCTGGCGCCCGCCCTCACAAACGCAAGAGTGCTCCCAGCTTGACCACATAGCAATCAGCTACAAATGGCGTGGAAGAGTAACGGACTGCCGATCGTACTGGTCAACTTTTCTAGACTCCGATCACGCATTGGTTCGTGCTAAGATTTGCATGCGTTTCGGAGGATCACCTAAGCGCGCTCACTACCGACCGGACGTCGCAAATCTACAAAACCCTGCGATTTTAACCAGGTACCAAGCCTCACAGTCAACCTTGCTTGGCTCAACTATTGACGGTGTTCTCGATTCGCAGTGGGCGCAGATCAAAGATGCTTTAGTTTCCGCCAGTATCGACATTTGTGGAGCTGTCCATCACCCACCGAAGCATTGGATTTCCGCCGTCTCCTTATCGCTGATGGACATACGCCGCTTGATCCCGTCGGATTCCAGACACAGTGAAAAACGCCAATCCCTTGGTCAAAAGTTGCGCATGAGTCTGCAAATGGACCCCGAAGTTTGGTGGTGTGAAGGAGCTAGGGAGATGGAGCTTGCTAGTCTCTCTGGTAATACCAGAAAACTTTTCAATCTCATTCGAGTCACCGAAGGTGTTCGATCTGTTTTAAGTGAAACAATATGCGAAGAGGATGGCACCTTAATCACCAATCTTCAACGACGGTTGGAGCGATGGGCCGAACGTTTTGGCTCGCAGTTTTGTTGGCCCCCAACTTTATCTGCTACCTCTGGCGATCGCGCTGGAGCCGAGTGGACTAGCCACACAGATCCTCCCTCTTACCAGGAACTCGAGCAGGAGCTCGGCCACATGAAGCGTTATAAAGCCTCCGGCCCTGATGGTCTTCCTCCAGCTCTATTTAAAGATCGTGGCGCTTCGCTGATTCGAGAACTCACCGCTTTGTTCTCGAAAATTTGGTCGAAAGAGAAAGTTCCATCATCTTGCAGTGAATCGATAGTCGACCCCATCTTCAAAAACGGCCTGCGCACAATCTGCTCCAGCTACAGAGGCATAAGCTTAGTCCCTGTCGTTTGCAAGCTGCTGGTGTCCATCCTACTTCGCAGGCTATCCCCAACACGCGAATCGTTGCAACGAGAAGAACAAACTTGGTTTCGCCCTGGTCGCGGCTGCATCGATCAAATCTTCACACTTCGCCAGATCCTCGAGCTCCGCCATGTGTACCAGAGACCAACGATTGCTTTGTTCCTGGATATCCGTGCAGCCTTCGATTCTGTCGATCGTACAGTACTGTGGCACTGCCTACTGAGGAATGGTGTCCCCGAGAAGTTCGTCTCCATACTGCGCTCTCTCTATGGTCTGACCTCGGGCAGAGTTAGGGCTAATGGCAAGCTTTCGCCTACCTTTGTGGTCTCCAGTGGAGTTCGATAAGGATGCCCTATCTCTCCGTTCCTATTCAACTTTGCCATTGAGGATGTCCTGAAGAACGCTCTGGGCGATTCCTTGAACGCTGGCGTTGAGCTCCTCCCAGGTAGTCGAGTTGTTGATTTTGATTATGCTGATGATATCGTCTTGCTGGGTGACGATCCACGGTCTTTCCAACTTGCACTAAACCGCTTGACGATTGAAGCATCAAAGTATGGTATGTACTTTTCGCCATCCAAATGCAAGGCTCTCTTCCAAGACTGGCAGGTGCCTCTGCCTGCACTCACTCTTGGTGGTGAGACACTAGAGATTGTGGAGAGCTTTGTCTACTTGGGAAGTTGCATCACTGCTGGCGGGGCTGTAGGAGACGAGATTTCGATGCGCATCTCGAGAGCACGCCTCGCTTTTTCTAGGCTGAGGCACTTGTGGCGTCGCCACGACATTCGTCTCTCCATCAAAGGGCGGGTCTATTGTGCAACTGTTCGTGCTGTACTGTTGTACGGATGCGAGACCTGGCCCATTCGTAAAGAGGACTTGCGCAGGCTATCCGTCTTCGAGCACCGCTGTCTGCGGTCCATTGCGCGTGTGTGGTGGCGGCACCACGTAAGCAATGTGGAAGCTAGACAGTGTGTCTTGGGACGTGGAAGCCACTCGCTCGAGGAGCTCGTCTCACTGCATCAACTGCGGTGGTTGGGACACGTATTGCGCATGCCTGTCCAGCGTTACCCGCGTCGTGCGTTGTTTGCGGTTGCTGGACAGGGCTGGAAGAGACGGTCTGGTGGACAGCCTACAACATGGAGAAGCCGCATGAAAAAGCTGACGAAACAGTTGGCCTCGGCCGGTTGTTGTCGACTACCTGGTTGCCGCTTGAGAGATGCGGATACCTATTGGTTGAAGACCTTGGAAGCCATGGCTCAAGATGGATGTCAATGGCAGATGTGTGCATCGGTGTGTTGTGGTGTCCCTTATTCCTCCTCCGAAAAAAAGAACAAACTAAAAAATCTCAAAAACCGTGAGTGGTAAACTAGACAGAAAAAGCTTTTGTTGTTGTTGCTCTTTTCTTATTATTCATGCTGTGTTCCTATTCAGCTAAGATTCCGATGGCACAATAGCTGTACCACAGATTGTGTATACTAATACTAATGATAATAATAATAATACATGCACAATACTGCAACGCAAGGAATACGGTTGGGTCCCCCCCAGAAGAGCGACTTCCATCAGTAAACCGTCAGTCATCATATGGCGCTATGAGCCGTTCAGGTAACTAATGATGTTTAGTAAGCATAGTAGACAGATTTAAAGAGCTTCAGGCAGCAATATCAAGTATGGGCATGAGACACATCAAAACTCTCAACCAATTGCCTGAATTCCAGCAACTGGCCTTGAATTAGGATGGATTGAAGTTTGTGCATAAAAGTCGGAAAAGCAGGATGCTCACTCAGCAACCATAGACAGACAATCCAATCAAAAGTATAAGCAACATTTAAAAATATATCAAATGATAAAGAGAACATGTTGCGTACGCCTTTTACGAATATATGACGGGAGGAAGGATTCACCAGTCTCGTTCTCCGAGGAAGGCACTGATGCAATAGATCTGACAGTGTCACGCCAAGTGAATGAGACATCTGAGTAGAAGGGTTCAAGAATGACACTCAGCATCTTAGATGTTGATGACATCAAACGAGAACTCATGCAGAAGACACCACAAGTGCTGTATGGAGGAGGTCTAAGCTGTAGCTATGAGTTTTTTTCCAGATAAAATGTAAAACACAATGATCGTTACCGACTGATATATTGGCTTCGATCAGACTATCAGGCGGTGGATATACGGAACTTGAGTGACGAAGAGACGCGATACTTACAAGGACTCGCGATCCCACCGCTGCCGCAAACGGCGTGGGCTCTTGAATGTCCGGTTCTGAAGTAGTGGCTGGTGCCTCGTTGTCAAACGAAGGTAGAAACAGACAACAAGTGGGAGCCGGTCCTATGGAAAGTTCTGTGATAGGGGGAAGCTGTGAATACAGCCGAAAGTAAAACCAGACAGTCAGATAATGACATGGATGGGATACAGCGACATGGATACGTCTCGACCGAGAAAAACGACTATGCTCAGGAGGAGTTTATATGTGGGATAAGGCAAAATGAGACCAGTTACGTGTGAACAAAACATAACATTTTGCAATGCGGGTAAAATATCTGCTATGGAGAGAATGCAAAGGGAGTTCAAATGGTGCTGCACGTGCTTGTAACTGACAAGTGAGAAGGTAATGACAGCCGTGATTAGAACCTCGAAACGAAGATTGATGAAAGATCAAGACGGAGTGAAATGAAATGAGGGGAGATGGAGAGGGCGAAGCAAACAAGCGCGAAGTGAAGCAGGAAACAAGTAGAACCATCGAATGAAGATGATGGCATCTTGTGGCATGAGAGGACAGGTATCTGATTCGATAGACTGATAAGTGAGCTGCTATTCTTTTCCAATGGCTCAATGAATGCCATCAACCGTGATACGCATACCGGTATAGTAATGTAAATTAAATGCGTCAGCAGTACGCCTGTTTGCAGCACCGACGTTTCGCTACCGCACAGCCACCACCGGTCGCACGTGGGCTAAGAATACTGTGGGGGTCGCCCGTTCCCTACGCAGGCTAAACACGCGCCCTCGGATTACGAAGCAGGGTTGTGATCCTTAGGGCTACGGACGGGCATCCACATACTGGAGGCACAGTGCATTGACTCACTCCAGAGCTCGTAACAGACAGGAGCAGCCATCGTTGGTTAAAGACACCAGGATCATAACGATTTCGATGCGCAACAAAAATATCGCTGATGCACGCGGTAATAGTGGCCGCCTTACCAATGCGCTCATATGTTGTTATCTATATAACTTTAACAAAGAATGTAGCGATTTCCTCGAGAGATGCGACTACCAGAGACGGATAGACAAACCGATCAGCGAGAGGTGATAAGGCGTCAAGGGGGTTCTGACGGAAGAGTGGGATGTAAAGCAGTGGAACGATAACCACTGATGAAAAGGAATGCGGTGGGACGGTAATTATTGCGGTATTGGTAACGGGGTTTGTGACCACACAATGTTATCAGACATACAAATTGGTCGTATGGTTCAATCAGTTTTTAGAACGTACGGATTTGAATCTAACTCGACTAGATACGGCACATTCGACTCGTAGGTGCCCACCAATTGAACATACAACCTCTCTGACAAGTCGCACTCGGAGCGGAAAGTGGAGCATTAGTGAAACCAGAGGTGAAATTAATCACATCTACCGAGGAAGTAGTCGGGTGTAGCAATCGAACTCAATTGATCGCAGGTGATGTGGCCCACATGCGAAATGGGTGTTCGGTACGTGCACTTAGTAGGTAGAGTAAGAAGGATGAAATCTGTCGTGCAGTTCTGTCATCGACGGCTGTCAATGACGTACACTGAACACAACACGAGGTAGTACGAACGGCGGCAGTCACACAATATATCTCAATGTGTGTATCACACAGCATCGTACTTTATTCCCCTCCCAAGGAGACAGGTTATGTGCTAATGCTACCTCCATTTTGGATATATTCAAGTATATGTTACGTACAAATTGAGCCTGCACGCGAGCAACCACTTTTTCTTGCTAGCAATCATGTCTCGTCTGTTAATCGTTTCGCCTTTGCATGAATAAGGAAGAAATTTAGTGTTCGCAGTAAACACTGCATACATGTTATATGCAAAGTACCGTATATTACCGTGTATAAGCCGAGGAATTTTGGACAATTTTCCATGTCTGTAGTGGGGGGGTCGGCTTATACAAAGGTTATGCGCAATTTCAAAAATTACATGCAAAATCCACCCAGAAATTCGCTACACCGCTATGCCCCCATCTTGCCTTAGCACCAGTCGCTAGTGACAGACGGTATCCCATGCGGGGATTTGAAGTGCCTATAGGTAGACACATAATGTTTGTGTCGAAAATTCTCGGCATATTTAACATTTGACTTCGCGTCAGCGCCATTTTGGTTAGCGAATTGCAGCGCTTATACATTATGCTGCGCTAGTCAAGCTGGTGTATTAAAAGTACAACGTCCTCCCACACCACTGATCATGAACTTCCCTCTCACCCGCTGCTCCACTGCGATTCAGATGCATGAGGTCCCCGACTATGCGAGGCGGTGTCTGACATACCCTTTCACCTTGCCCCATATTGTCGACTGACGCACCTGCTTCGTGTGACTTGATCTATAATCAACACACTGTCCAGTGCGGTTCAAATCTTTGTTCTGACGGCTCTAAGCCCGGGTAACTGCGATCATCACATTAGGTCGCCAGAACCGACCAATAGTAGAGCAGCTTTCGCTTGAGCGCACACTTAAGTGAGAGCAGGTAGTGATGAGGGCAAAATCGTGAGAAACAATTTCGTTCCTGATTTTGTTGGAGCTCAGCTAATATACGGACTTAAGGTTTTGGACAAATTTGACGTTGTATATTGTCGGCTTATACGAGGTAATATGCGATATGTCAGAGCACTGGTACACCAAAGGGCAAATTATCATCCCCGTGGCGACGAGTTGACCTTAACGTGGTGCGAAGTGTGCATATCCCATCGACCAATTGAACTATACTGAGTGGTGCCCCTGGACCGCTTGAGAGCTACTCCTACCGCATTGGTCGATGGTTAGAGGTCAGACAAACTCATCTCGTGATCCAAACAGGTAAGCGGCTGGAAATGGGATGGCGTCAATCTCTGTAAAACTGATTCGCTGCCTTGCGGACAGGCTTTTGATGTGAAGTCTAGATTTGAGAACCCTAATCGTTCTCCTGCCTAGGTCTCGGCGCCATGGCAGTATCTAAGCTTACGTACAACCATGACTATTTGCACAAACTTCAATCACATCCTGCATCAACCGTCGTGCAGCTTTAGCAGGGGTTGCCTTATCTGCTGCATACAGCATGGTGGATAAGCGAAAACATGCTACTGTCGGCGCCTCCCTTCTTTCTTTTCCACCTGCACCTCTTACTGCTATCCCACTTCCCACTTTCCATTACTAATGCACAGCTTAAATGACAGCAACGGCGACGTTCGCACCATAAGACAAATAGGTCAACCAACTGCACTCGCACGCACCATGGACACACTCTGGGTACGGATGTGTGTTGTGTGTCCGAAACTAGGAGCAATGACCCTCAAGGGGTTGTTGTATTAATTGCGCCCGGTTTGTTTTCTAACCATTGGTTGCACACATCCAGAGACGCCGATGCGGAAACCACTGGTCAAGCTGGGGTGGCCATTGTTCTCAGTTCCAAAGTTGAGTCATCGTTAGCTGGTTGGATCTCGGTAACCAGCCCGTTTGGAGACATCACCTAAAGTTGATCCACGAAGTAATGTCAGACGCTGTTTGTTTGTGGTTTCCGCTTATGCCCCCAATGAATGCAGTTCGGATGTGAATAAGGACATCTTGTACTACGCAGTGGTACCAGTTCAGACATCGTAATGGTTCCAGGGGATATGAATGCGCAAATGGATCGTCTGCGCCCTTCAGAAGCTGAGCTAGGTGGTAAGTATGGATTTAACTCCAACCGAGCGGACAACGGCAAGCGTTCGTTGCAACTGCGCGCCGAGCACCGGCTGTTTCTGAGTAGCACCGCGTTTAGATAGAGTGGATGCTGAAGTGCAACTTGGCTTTCCCCTACAGCTGCCCAGCGATGGACCTAAATTGATCACGTTGCCACAAGTTACATATGGCATTGAATTATCCTGCACTGCCGCTCGTGCAGGAATATCTGCGTCGACTCTGATCATGCTGTGGTACGTTGTCGTTTTCCAGAGAACTTTACCGGGGGCGTATCAAGCCCCCCCCCCGAGCTTGGCAACTGAGAAGTTACCTCAGCCTTCGTTTAGGCAAACAAACCAGGACGCCATGTGTACCGAACTTTCGCTTTCCTGTCCTAATGACACTTAGATTTAGTGGAATAGGATCACGGCTGCCATGCACGACGCAGAAGTAACTGCTTGTGGCACTATCAATGGTCACCGCACCAGAGTTCAGAGAACCTGTTGGAATCCAGAAGAAAGCTCCCTGCTGGCTCTGAGTGCAATGTAACCAGACAGATTATTAGGGGAGAACTAAAACGGGGACTGCGTGTTGACCAGGAAGCCTGGTAGGCTAACAGGGCTAAAAAATGGAGGAAGCAGGAGCAGTAGGCGATTATCGCAAGCTCTTCCAACTGATCCGCATCACTGGCCCCAGAAAAGGAGGCACCAGTGAGTCGGCCGGTGACCGAGTGGTATGCGCGTCTGGTTTGCAACCATAAGGTCACCGGTTCGAATCCGCGTAGGGGCGGGAGTCCTCGCGGTATACTCAGCCCACGTGCGACTGGTGTTGGTCGCGTGGCAGCGAAGCGCCGTTACGGCGTGAAGCTGGCAATTTATTATTATTTAGGCATCGGTGAAACAGAGACAACACAGATGCCATTATTCACAATAAGAAGCGTCCTATGGCACCTTGGGCAGAGCACTTTCGAGGGTGATTCAGCTGGTCACCTGCTCCCGGACATCTTCCTATTCAGGTGATGCGGGCTGAGCTATGACCGGTTAGTTTACAGGCTCCATTGGAGACTGAGGTACAAAAAGCGACCACATCCCTTAATTGTTTCCGTACTACTGGCCCAGATTCCCTCGTGCCCGCACTATGTGAGGAATTCTTTCGTTCAGTCCATTCCCGTTGCCATTTGATTACGTGGACCATTTTGCTCGATTCATTTTAGATTTTGCTCTTCCGTTTCAATGTTGGCCGTGGTCATAGAAATGTTTCACTGATGGACAAAATAAAGGTGAGCCATCCCATCAGCAAACCACACCTCTCCTTGCGGGTTCACGTGAACAGGCTGCGGCACACAATCGCACGTTAGATTGGGGAATAACGATGAGGTAGATTTCGATCATTCCGGCCACTAGGACCTCTTCCGGTGACGCCGGAGTGCGGATCGCACAGAGACGTATGTGCGCCAGCGTCTACCCGTGTTCGTTACAGATACAGGGACATCGGTATTTTCAACAAGAATCACATACGTATGACACCTACATTCTTCACTCCAGGCTTTCACTAAACATGCACTCAATCTCAATCCCATGATTTCATAAAAATTCTGCAGATATAGGGGAGAACAAGGTACAAAGTACGCGCTGGCGATGAAACAACATGCTCACAACTGGACAAGATGATCTGGTTTAACTGTGGGCACAATCGAGGAAATATATAGGTGTAGAAATATAGACATAGTTAAAATGTTATCACAAGCCCGGAAAAGCTCTATGCGGCCATTTCGTACTTAGGGGAATCGTCGGTAGTGCGCATTCCATCTGACCCATGTAGGGGTCGAACTCGCAATCCGATAGTTACCAAACTGCGGGGGACGGTAAAGACTGAGAGTGTAATGGATATCTGACTGAGTCTAGATGTGATGGAGTTCCACTTATACCATTCAAATCTCACTAAAAGTCCCTTTAACAAGAATAACGACTGTAGTAGTAAGAATGGTGTTACAATGTAGCGGCGGCAGCTAGGTACTTTGATCCGTTGCGCTCCAGTGTTTGGAGCACTGAGCTGAACTCAAAACATATGTACCATGCAAGCTTGGGCACTTAACCCCATGTCGCGGACTGATGAAGTGCGTAGGCACGGTAGGGGAAAAAGAAACATTGAGAAACAAATCAGCTTTCGGTCGGCAAGTTACCTGTTGTTTGGGTGTGCTAACCATCGTATTGTTCGCCATGCGGTCCGATTCAGTGGCGTAGTGCATAGCCACATGCGTGGATAGGCATGCTATCCAACTGATCGAATCCAGGTTGTAGAGCCAAATGTGGCCGTTGTCCAATCCCACAGCGATGTCACGTGCGTCCGCGGAAATCGCCGTGACCAAGGTGCGCACACCGGACTTGAGCATGAGCTGACTCATGGGGTTTTCACTCGTGAGAGGAGGCAGCCGAAGCTGACGAGAACAGTCCAAATACAATTGGTTCGCCGTCCGTTTCAGATAGTACACCGCGGGAAGTAATACGGATGCACCAGCTTGTTCCGGACTGGTAAAGCTATCCACACGGTGAACATTAAGGTTTGGAGTGCCTTCACCACTGAGCACCACAATATCGAGATCGTGTGGAGCAGCAATGCAGTGAAGAGTGTAGGAGGTTGGTGAATCGGCGGAATGCTATAAAAAAAGGAGAAGTGGAAGCAAAATAATGAGGAAGAGGATTAGTCAAGTTGGGTGATCAGGTAGAGAGGGAGAGAATCATCCAACATGTCCACGAAGTCATAAGGGACATCAGAACCTATGAATAAGGCCCTGAAAATGACTGATATCGCGGAAATGTAGAGACGGGGATAAGCGAGGGGCAGAGAAAAACAAGCAGCACGAATCAAACTACAAAGATCCAAGTTACACTAAACTCAATTACTGATGAACTCATACAAGACATTCTCTTCACAAATTTCAAAATGGCAAGACGTAACATTTCGACAGGCCAGTCCGAATACAGCTATTTCGCGTATTCTCATCAGCCGTTTACATACCAATGGTGGAATGGCTAGGTTACATACACAGACATGTAAGGAATAACGCCATTGGATAATCAACTGAAGGAGCACCGTTCGCTTGGTTCAGTTCGTTGAGAATTCGGCAATTAGGCGGGCGAAACCCACTTTGTGTAAACAGACAGAGTTCGTCGCCAGTCTCGTCATCTTGGTGAGGCTGGTGGCCACATTCCTCTAAATGGAATGCCAGCCAGCATAAGATGAAGTTTGACCGCTTTCGATTCACCAATCACGTTACACCCTGAATGTTTCTGCTTGCAACCTAGCCATTTCACGAATTGCATGTAAACGGCTGATGAGAATAAGCGAAATAGCCGAATTCAGATTATCCAGTTGAAATCTTCTTGCTTGCCAGTGATAAACTCGTTCGAAAATAGGCGCTTGAAGAAGCCATACGTAACATCACTCAAAAAGAAGTCCGCAAATACAACGGCGGAAGTAACGCGATCATGCATTCACAGTTAAACTGAAAGGGCAGAGATCCATGAGACAACTTTCATAGGCAGTTACTTCAGATACGTAAGACTTGAGAGGTGGAACGTATGTGGCCACACGCTTGACGCCCGTTTCCGAGCAACGCGATGGGTTTAAGCACGCCCAGTACAAACGATGATACCCGCCTAACTTAGTCAGTTCGTTTAAGATTTCATGGGACCCAGGTAGTAGGTGGAGGGGGGCTTCCCGAAAATAATCGTTGTGCGAACTGACTGCGACGAACAATATTAATGTGGACAGCGAATCGCATAGAAGTGAGGATCAGTCAATTCTGTTGTTAGGATTGTGTTTGTGACGGATAAATGCTATACGTTGCCCAGTCACAATACTGAGCTATCGAAAAAGCATGAGGAACAACATAGGAAAATGTACATAGGTCAGGAAAAGATAACAAATATATTTTCGCTTTTATTTTTTGTCTGTTTTCACACGCCATTTTGTTATCCTTTTGGCACTTTAATCACATAATCACATTGTACAAAACATTCCAATATACAGTTCTTCCATTGATTCCGGTTTCGTGCCATATTGCCAAGTGTGTCAGGCCATTTGCAGTCCCCGTTTTTGGACCTACAGCCAGGAAGATGTACTGGGCCGACGATTGAGAGACAGGAGGTCAGCGATTTCATGGTTTGCCTCCAAGTGGTTGGCTGACCTTCACGCGTTCTTTTCCAATTCAATCCAGTGCGAGCAAATAAGGCGCAGCGTGGTAAGCGCTCGCATGACATACGTAGAACGTGGCCAAGCCACCTCAATTGACGCACTGCGATAAGGCGATTAAGCGGAGGGCTCATGTTTCCCAAGACGCGACACCGGACTTCATCGTTGCGAACCCGGTGCTGCCACCACACACGGGCTATCTGCCGCAAATGTGTTGTCGAAAGAAAAGCATGTCGTCCACATGAATCGGCCAGGACTCATTTCCGGACAGGGCGGGTCCATCCGCTCCCATCCCCCAAGCACCTAAAGCACGCATGAGTACAACCCCAGAGGCGTATAACGGGGAATGCCACCAGTACATCAGCGAACTGTACCCATGTAGTAGAACCCCAAGTGGCTAGTGCGGCCTGTGATACCGATAGGTTGTCAGAACTTACACAAGAGGTAGTCATGGAACCCGGATAGAACAGTTGGTAAATTAAAAGGTGAAGACAACGTGAATAGCAAGGTTTAAATATGGTGTGAGATGTGTTGCATTCACAGTCTTCAGGTGTTAGCCTAACCCTGCAGAACTGTCACAGCAAGTCACTCACTACCTAAGTGATATGCGTATTGATAGCATACGGGCCAGTGCCTCCAAGTCCTATTCACTGGAGTTTACGCGAAAGACGCGGCATGTGCGTTGAGCTTTGATTGGTACAAAATGGGCTACTACTCCTAGCAAGCGTACAGAAGCGGATATAACCAATGGTTACCATCACTACAGAGAGGATAGTCGGGCTAAAGTGAATCGCGCCACGGAATTTTGTCAGAAACCGGTGCGGTAGAAAACCTCACCTCCGCCAAAACGCAATACGGTAATGTCTTAAAGCGGGAGGAGCAACTATTTCGATTTAGGATGAGAGTCAAAATGGCATTGGTGGTGTGATGTGTTCCCGCACTTTGTGTCACCAAGCAGAAAGCTACATGGTTGACAAATTTTCAGCGCGGGACCAAAGCCACCGAACATCGGGTGTTAATGAGACGAATCGAGACCGCCTCTGACAACAAACGTGCGGTTTAGAACGGTGCACCCGATGTGAGAGATCACAAAAATGGCTGCTACGACAACAACCAAGTGATTCGTTTGGTCCACAAAATGACAAGCATACAAACGTTGTTCAATCCACGGTTGGATCATGTTGCCTAAACGTCTTGTAGTGCATCATGTGAACAGGATACAAGAGATGAAGTGACGTCCGCAGACATCCAGAAAGAAATGGAGCAAAAGTGAAGAAAAGTCGTACCTGTGCTGAGAAACGCATGTTGTTGGCTACCTTTCATAACTTTTTTGCAAACAGGTGCAGCCCATCAGGACTCTTCATCCATTGATCCCAAGGTAAGCAGGTGTGTGGGTCCAACAGCAGCAAGATGTGAGGTCAACAATTGCATATGCTTTAGCCAGGTGGATGGCTGATCAGCGACCAAACAATCAGCTTCGGCACACTAACAGGCTCAGGTTTTCCTCTGTGCGTTGACCTCCGTTAGGCACCCTAGTGGGAAAATTTGTTCATCCCAAACTAACGATTCTTATTCTTGCTTTAACTGGTTTACGTTCCATAGCTCATCGCTTTGATCCAGTTTCGGAATGGTATCAAAACGGGCTCGCTACTCTCGGCACTCTACCTCTGTATGCTTTTGCACTTCCACCTTACACATCAGCATTTAGTTTCTAATCCCGAACCTCATATTGTCTACTTGCATCTATCCGTTTCCCTATCCACTCTAATCTGACTGCGTAGTCTCAACTACCTGCGACGAAGTCTCCTCGACTGAAATATCGCTCCTGCTTCCTATGTGCAATTGGAAAATAACCGCATCAGTGTCATGGGCCCATCACTCATTTTAGCTTCTTTAAACCATTCCCCTTCTCCATTCCTTTTCCGTAATCGCTTTCCCATTCCTTAATCGGGCATGCACTGCTTGCTTCTCTCTGTCTCAAATCCGCT